ATTTATTCTGTTATATGGTTTACCAAGAGATTCCTTGTATTCTTCAACACAGAAAAGTTCTGTAGTTCCTGGAACATGTAAAACCACATCCATATCTGGGTATAACAGAATCCACTCAACATCTGGATTCCTTCTCAATGTTTGGTTATGAGCAAGTTGTTTCTCTACTGCAAGTTGTTTGACTGTAAGAGCTGAATCTGATTTCTTGACTGAAACTGGTAGAGTTCTAATTTTAAGCTCCCTTGAGTTGTCCACAAGGTCAACAAGACCCACATTTATCTATTAAAATAATCATAATTAATATATATTTATAATAATAATAATTATTATTATTATTATAACAATATTTGGTTATATTACGAAATATATTTACCAAAGAAGAAATGTACTAGTCAGTTGTTTCCCCTGCCAACCCAAAMCCCCACGCCACCCCCTCCATCATCCATCAACCGAGCGGGAGAATTTACTGGGCAATACCAAGTAACCATCACAAGCACCTTATTTTCACTCTAGCACCTTATTTTCACTCTAGCACCTTATTTTCACTTTGGCCCATGATGAGGATGGGGATCGGAGTTTACAGATGAGTTACCCATTGTCCCCTCGTGGGTGGTGGAAACGCGGGCCGTGGAAACAACTAACAACCAAGCGTAGCAAGTGCGGCGATATGCATAGGCCTTTTTATATAACCAGCTGGAGGAAAAGGAGAAGATTTATAGTGGTAACATAAGCTATGTTTCGGAATTCATCAAGTTTACGGAACCGTATGCAAAGTTAAACTGTCAAATGCAGACAACAAGTAGCCCTCACCTTAACTGGTTCTTTGCTTTTTTTATTTAGGTCGGCTTTTGTTTTAAAGTGGCCAGATCTTTCTTTTTCCTTTTCCTTCTTTGCTGCTTCAAATTKTCTTGATTTTAACTCCATGAATTGATCAAAGCTAGGCACAGCAGCAGCTTGACCGTCTACAGCTGACGATCCACATGAAGTGCAAAACTTATCATCGTTGCCTATTTTCTTGCCACACTTGCTACAAAACATTCTGCAGGTGTCATTAGGCTAAACATAAAAAGAAAAAGGATGAAAAAGATTAAAATATAACTTTTGTGAGCCAAAAAATAACAAAAATTTGGAAATCGTTTCGAACGTTCCTTACCTTTCGCCGGGTTCTGCCAATGACTTATTA